GGAGAGGATTCTTTGAAAAAGGGGGGTCGGGCAGTTCAGTGCCAGATTTTCAGCGTGGGATTTTTAGTGTGGGACAGTCAGGGACAATTGATCACTGGACAATTGATCATTGGGACAATTGATCGCTGGACATTTGGTCCAGGGACATCTGATCACTGGACATTTGGTCACTGGACATTTGGTCACTGGACATCTGATCACTGGAAATTTGGTCACTGGTCATTTGGGTTATAAGGGGGGGGTAATTCAAAGGTCTAAGTCAACGTCTAAGGAAGCCTATGCCTAGTGCCCTACTGTCTACACCTATTGAATAAGAACCCGTGCCTTTGGATATAACTGGCAGGTATGAAAGCCTGATCCTATGGAGAGGATTCTTTGAAAAAGGGGGGTCGGGCAGTTCAGTGCCAGATTTTCAGCGTGGGATTTTTAGTGTGGGACAGTCAGGGACAATTGATCACTGGACAATTGATCATTGGGACAATTGATCGCTGGACATTTGGTCCAGGGACATCTGATCACTGGACATTTGGTCACTGGACATTTGGTCACTGGACATCTGATCACTGGAAATTTGGTCACTGGTCATTTGGGTTATAAGGGGGGGGGGGGTAATTCAAAGGTCTAAGTCAACGTCTAAGGAAGCCTAGGCCTATTGCCCTACTGTCTACACCTATTGAATAAGAACCCGTGCCTTTGGATATAACTGGCAGGTATGAAAGCCTGATCCTATGGAGAGGATTCTTTGAAAAAGGGGGGTCGGGCAGTTCAGTGCCAGATTTTCAGCGTGGGATTTTTAGTGTGGGACAGTCAGGGACAATTGATCACTGGACAATTGATCATTGGGACAATTGATCGCTGGACATTTGGTCCAGGGACATCTGATCACTGGACATTTGGTCACTGGACATTTGGTCACTGGACATCTGATCACTGGAAATTTGGTCACTGGTCATTTGGGTTATAAGGGGGGGGTAATTCAAAGGTCTAAGTCAACGTCTAAGGAAGCCTATGCCTAGTGCCCTACTGTCTACACCTATTGAATAAGAACCCGTGCCTTTGGATATAACTGGCAGGTATGAAAGCCTGATCCTATGGAGAGGATTCTTTGAAAAAGGGGGGTCGGGCAGTTCAGTGCCAGATTTTCAGCGTGGGATTTTTAGTGTGGGACAGTCAGGGACAATTGATCACTGGACAATTGATCATTGGGACAATTGATCGCTGGACATTTGGTCCAGGGACATCTGATCACTGGACATTTGGTCACTGGACATTTGGTCACTGGACATCTGATCACTGGAAATTTGGTCACTGGTCATTTGGGTTATAAGGGGGGGGTAATTCAAAGGTCTAAGTCAACGTCTAAGGAAGCCTATGCCTAGTGCCCTACTGTCTACACCTATTGAATAAGAACCCGTGCCTTTGGATATAACTGGCAGGTATGAAAGCCTGATCCTATGGAGAGGATTCTTTGAAAAAGGGGGGTCGGGCAGTTCAGTGCCAGATTTTCAGCGTGGGATTTTTAGTGTGGGACAGTCAGGGACAATTGATCACTGGACAATTGATCATTGGGACAATTGATCGCTGGACATTTGGTCCAGGGACATCTGATCACTGGACATTTGGTCACTGGACATTTGGTCACTGGACATCTGATCACTGGAAATTTGGTCACTGGTCATTTGGGTTATAAGGGGGGGGGGGTAATTCAAAGGTCTAAGTCAACGTCTAAGGAAGCCTAGGCCTATTGCCCTACTGTCTACACCTATTGAATAAGAACCCGTGCCTTTGGATATAACTGGCAGGTATGAAAGCCTGATCCTATGGAGAGGATTCTTTGAAAAAGGGGGGTCGGGCAGTTCAGTGCCAGATTTTCAGCGTGGGATTTTTAGTGTGGGACAGTCAGGGACAATTGATCACTGGACAATTGATCATTGGGACAATTGATCGCTGGACATTTGGTCCAGGGACATCTGATCACTGGACATTTGGTCACTGGACATTTGGTCACTGGACATCTGATCACTGGAAATTTGGTCACTGGTCATTTGGGTTATAAGGGGGGGGTAATTCAAAGGTCTAAGTCAACGTCTAAGGAAGCCTATGCCTAGTGCCCTACTGTCTACACCTATTGAATAAGAACCCGTGCCTTTGGATATAACTGGCAGGTATGAAAGCCTGATCCTATGGAGAGGATTCTTTGAAAAAGGGGGGTCGGGCAGTTCAGTGCCAGATTTTCAGCGTGGGATTTTTAGTGTGGGACAGTCAGGGACAATTGATCACTGGACAATTGATCATTGGGACAATTGATCGCTGGACATTTGGTCACTGGACATTTGGTCACTGGACATCTGATCACTGGAAATTTGGTCACTGGTCATTTGGGTTATAAGGGGGGGGGTAATTCAAAGGTCTAAGTCAACGTCTAAGGAAGCCTATGCCTAGTGCCCTACTGTCTACACCTATTGAATAAGAACCCGTGCCTTTGGATATAACTGGCAGGTATGAAAGCCTGATCCTATGGAGAGGATTCTTTGAAAAAGGGGGGTCGGGCAGTTCAGTGCCAGATTTTCAGCGTGGGATTTTTAGTGTGGGACAGTCAGGGACAATTGATCACTGGACAATTGATCATTGGGACAATTGATCGCTGGACATTTGGTCCAGGGACATCTGATCACTGGACATTTGGTCACTGGACATTTGGTCACTGGACATCTGATCACTGGAAATTTGGTCACTGGTCATTTGGGTTATAAGGGGGGGGGGGGGGGTAATTCAAAGGTCTAAGTCAACGTCTAAGGAAGCCTATGCCTAGTGCCCTACTGTCTACACCTATTGAATAAGAACCCGTGCCTTTGGATATAACTGGCAGGTATGAAAGCCTGATCCTATGGAGAGGATTCTTTGAAAAAGGGGGGTCGGGCAGTTCAGTGCCAGATTTTCAGCGTGGGATTTTTAGTGTGGGACAGTCAGGGACAATTGATCACTGGACAATTGATCATTGGGACAATTGATCGCTGGACATTTGGTCCAGGGACATCTGATCACTGGACATTTGGTCACTGGACATCTGATCACTGGAAATTTGGTCACTGGTCATTTGGGTTATAAGGGGGGGGGTAATTCAAAGGTCTAAGTCAACGTCTAAGGAAGCCTATGCCTAGTGCCCTACTGTCTACACCTATTGAATAAGAACCCGTGCCTTTGGATATAACTCGCAGGTATGAAAGCCTGAACCTATGGACATTTGTGGCAATTCAGTTTGGAATGCTATTCCAATACGAATTCATGATACTGATTTTGGGGTCATTCGAGAAAAACCCGAATCATTAGAAGTATAAACTGGAGGTCATGCTAGTTTGATTGGTTTTGGGAGTCGCACAAGTGTCCAAAGCTCTTTGAGCTTGGATGAGTCTTTAGTGGTGTAAGCCCGGGGAGGAGGGGAGGGGGCCCAACCCAACAATTTTTAACCACAAACAAAAAAAAATGAAAATGAAAAAAATATACCACTTGTAAAAAACTGTTTTGCAAACTTCTTATAAAAAAGCCGCAAGAACCTTTTTACAAGTGGCAAAGATTTGTACTTTTCCGTTTTTAACTTACACTTAAAATCTTTCGTGTTTTGCTTCATTCTTGAAGCTTAGTCTTTGGAATTTCGGAAATTATTAAAAATTGAAGCAGGAATAGAATTTAGAAGTGTAAACGGAAAAGCACACACAAAATATATACATATCATTTAAAAAAATTACAAGACCTTTAAATGTGGCGGAAGCATCTTTGCCACATTTTTAGCTTCTCTCATCTTTGTAGTCCATCATCGATTCGTTGCAATCCAATTCTCATTTTGAACACTTCATGCAATAATAAGTCTCGGTGTAGCTGTTGATGTTACAGAGCCGTCAGCCTCAATGTACGAGTTTTGTTGTTGCAGCACACATCTGAAAAATACCTTTAAAATTAAAAATACGAAAATTGTCGTCTTCACAAAAATACTTAAGAAAGCACGTTTCTGCCCACAGCTTAGTCAAATATAGTTAATCCCCCCAACAAAACACCTCTCCACTCCCCAGCCTACCCAAAGACAGTCCCATCCCAAAGAATAAAAAAGAGAAAATACCAAACCTTAGAGTTGTGATGATGCTCAAATTCATCCTCAGTAGTCTGTTTGGCGTCTAACCAAGAGAGCGTTTCCTGACATTTGTCCAAAACCTTCTTATCGTCTTCGCTAATCTTGTTCTTGAGCTGAAAAATTTTTGAAAAATTAAACAAGTCCCTTACAAGAAAGTGAACCAAGAAAGTGGATTTTTAAAAGTGGAAGGGTCAATAAAGGAAGGCGGAAGACAACCTATCCATCTCACAACACAACATCTGATTTCTGGCCCAAGCTCTTTCCCCTTAAGACAGCCCCTCCCCTTTCCCCAGATCATCGCCACACAAGACCGCGCATTCCGATCCTCAGTCCTTCCACCAAGGACAACCCATCAAAAGCCCACACCCAACCCAAGCATTATCCCCTCAAAATCAAACCTTATCATCCTCCATTATCTGCTTGATGTTAAAGCAGTAAGACTGAAGTCCGTTCTTTGCAGAAACACGATCACGCTGAATTTCATCCTCTCCACGATATTTCTCAGCTTCTTGGACCATGCGCTCAATCTCATCTTTGGAAAGACGTCCCTTGTCGTTAGTGATGGTGATCTTGTTTTGCTTTCCAGTAGACTTGTCTTGGGCAAAAACATTCAAAATTCCGTTGGCGTCAATGTCAAAGGTGACTTCGATTTGAGGAACACCACAAGGAGCAGGAGGAATTCCACTCAACTCGAATTTGCCCAACAAGTTGTTGTCCTTAGTCATAGCACGTTCACCTTCATAGACCTTTAAAAAAGAAAAGGTCAAAAATTTCCAAAAATTCTTTCCAACCTGAATAAGAACACCAGGCTGATTGTCAGAGTAAGTAGTGAACGTTTGAGAAGTCTTGGTGGGAATAGTCGTGTTTCTCTTGATTAACGGAGTCATGACGCCACCAGCAGTTTCAATACCCAACGAGAGTGGGGCAACGTCCAAAAGAAGAAGATCCTTTAAAAAAATTTTCAAGTTTTCCCTTTCAGAAAAACACTTCCAAAAAATATACCTGAACATTCTCAGACTTATCGCCAGACAAAATTGCAGCCTGAACAGCAGCTCCATAGGCGACAGCCTCGCCGTGGTTGATGCTCTTGTTAAGTTCTTTACCAGAAAAGAAGTCAGACAACAGCTTCTGGACTTTTGGGATTCTAGTCGATCCTCCAACCAAAACAATGTCATAAATCTGAGACTTGTCCATCTTAGCATCACGAATTGATTTCTCGACTGGATCCATAGTACTGCGGAACAAATCGGCGCAAAGCTCTTCAAAACGTGCACGCGTGATGTTGGTGTAGAAGTCGATTCCATCAAAGAGAGAGTCAATCTCAATGCTAAAATCGGTACTTATGAAGATGGAGGTGCCCTTTCTGCGGACTTTTTTTGCGGACTTTTCCTTTCCTTAAAATTTTTCTTTTTTAATGTTTTGGTTGTCTTGCTTGCAGCAAGTTTTGCTTGTAGCAACAAACTGTCAAAGGCTAATTCTTATGCCAATTTGAAAACAATTAATTTAAACATTATAAACGTAAAATTGTTTCAATCAATGAAACATTTTACTTTAACTAAATTCCAAACTCTGTCCCTAAATTCCAAACCTTGTCCCCCCACCCCCAATAATTTTCCTAACCTATATTGTACATAATGGTCAGATTTTCTTCCCTGTGAATATGCAAACAAGACTTGATAAAGACATTTTTACCTTGATAGTTGTATAACCTCCAAATTTAAGGGTCCGTTTTCTATGAATAAGACCAAGCTTTTTAGCCTCGCATCAAAATATTAGTCGTTTAAACGTAGATTTTCCAGAAGATGCTAATATTTGAAATTTTTCAGTTGTTCAATATTTTTAAATATAAATAGGAATGTAATGTTTTTACACAGAAATTTATAATGTTATACACCAAATCAATTTTTTCAATTATTTTTTTGTGTAACATTGTTTTCTAAGGCAAAATATAAGTGTATGACTATAAAATTAATCTTCTCTTTATCAATGTGCCTTGTTTGAATATGTCACAGGGCAAATAGAAGGAAGGAGAGGAAGAAGAAAATCTGACCATTATGTACAAGCTTAGGTAAGAAAAATAATAGGGGAGGGCCATTGACAGTTAGTTGCTACAAGTAAAACATTTAAATAAGGGAAGAAAAGTCCGCAAAAAAAGTCCGCAGAAAGGGCACCTCCATCTTCATAAGTACCCTAAAATCGATTCAAGTCAAGGTCAAAAAAGTAAAAAATAACCTCGCTTGAGTAGAGCTAGACAAAGTCCTCTTAGCGCGTTCACAAGCAGTACGAATACGACGGAGAGCACGCGAATTGGTGGCAAGATCCTTCTTGTGCTTACGTTTGAATTCAGCAACGATGTGGTTGACCTTAAAAAGACATATTTTCAGTTTAAAAAACCCTCAAAAAACTCCAAACCATTCGATTGTCAAAAATCTTCGCCTCCAAGGTGGGTGTCTCCAGCAGTCGACTTGACCTCAAAAATACCATCTTCAATAGTCAAGGTTTGACACTTGACCTCAAAAATACCATCTTCAATAGTCAAGGTTGACACATCAAACGCTCCCACGAGGAGCAGGAGGAATTCCATTTCAATGCTAAAAACGATTCAAGTTAAGATTAAAAAACTCAAAAACAACCTCGCTTGAGTGGAGCTAGACAAAGTCCTCTTACAAGGGAACATTCCGAACTGTGACCAAAAATTTTCAAATAAAAATTATACCATCTTGTAGAGCATGGTCGAAAGCCAATTGTAGTAGGTTTCTTTTTTGGCCCTGACCCCCATTTCGAAAAGTTATAGGCCTTCAAAGTTTCCGACTTTTGGAACGGTTGAGTCGCCCTCATAAAGAGAGATTTTTCTTTTATTAAGGAGAAAAATAAGACTCCCTTCCTCCTTTTTTCCTTTCCTTTTCTTTTCCAATATTAGTTAAAGAAAGAGAAAAAGAGGAGAGAAAAGAAAAGGAAAAGAGGCGTCTCTACCTTGCAGCTAATGTCAATTAAAAAGGAAAGAGGAGATGGCAGAGATGCCTCTTTTCCTTTTCTTTTCTCTCCGCTTTTTCTCCTTCTTTAACCAACATAGGAAAAAAAGAGGAAAGGAAAAATTGAGAAAAGGAGTCTCATTTTTCCCTTTAGGAAAGAAATAATAAGAAAAGTGAGGGCGACTCAACCGTTCCAAAAGTCGGAAACTTTGAAGGCCTATAACTTTTCGAAATGGGGGTCAGGGCCAAAAAAGAAACCTACTACAATTGGCTTTCGACCATGCTCTACACGATGGTATAATTTTTATTTGAAAATTTTTGGTCACAGTTCGGAATGTTCCCTTGTTAGCACGTTCACAATCAGTACGAAGACGACGGAGAGCACGCGGATTGGTGGCAAGATCCTTCTTGTGTTTACGCTTAAATTCAGCAACAAAATGGTTAACCTTAAAACATATTTTCAGTTAAGAAAACCTCAAAAACTCCAAACCATTCGATTGTCAAAATCTTCACCTCCAAAGTGAGTGTCTCCAGCAGTCGACTTGACCTCAAAAATACCATCTTCAATAGTCAAGGTTGACACATCAAACGCTCCACCGCCCAAGTCAAAAATCAGAACATTTCGCTCGCCTTGGCCCTTCTTATCCAAACCATAAGCAATGGCCGCAGCAGTTGGCTCGTTGATGATACGCAAAACATTGAGTCCAGAAATCGTTCCAGCATCCTTTGTGGCTTGCCGTTGACTGCGTTGAAGTACGCAGGCACGTGACGACAGCATCCTTAAAACGCGAAAACTTGAACTCAAGCAAAGTAAACTTAAAAAGAAACCTCTGGGAAGAAAGCATTCATTTCTCCTTTAACCTCCACTTGGATTTTTGGATGAGCACCTTCTCCTTGGATAAACTTGAACGGCAGATGTTTCATGTCCGATTGAAATGCAGGGTCGTCGAATTTACGACCAATCAAGCGTTCCGCGTCTGAAAATGATTTTTTACTTGTTTACCCAAAAATTCAAAAAAAAATACCAAAAACAGTGTTCGACGGATTCATTGCCACCTGATTTTTAGCAGCGTCACCAATCAGACGTTGTGTCTGTGAAAGCCACATAAGATGGAGTCGAGCGATTTCCTGAAGAAAAAAAGTTAGAACACGTAACCTCGTCCAGAAAACAAACCTTGATCATTAGCAATGATTTCGACTTTTCCATGCTGGAATACACCAACACAGGAATATGTCTTAGCAAGGATACCGACAGCGTTTGCTTCAGACATTTTTAAAATGATAGCTGAAAAATTAGAGTTTAGAAGATTAGGAGCAAAAAATCATTAAACATAACAAAAGAAAATGCAAACTACGGAAACTAATGAAAATCAATAAGTGACGCCAAATGAATTTGAACGAAATATTAACACAAATTAATTTTGTTAATTTAATTTTGGAAAATGTCAAAGTGTCAAGTCGTTGATATTCTGTCAATTACTCGAAAAAATGAAGAAAAAAAGATTTTCAAAGCCTAAAGAATTTGAAAATTTTGTTTAGGTAGACTTTCAGGATATATCAATCGAGAATTTGTAATATAGAGGACGTATTTAAGTCTGACATTTTTAATACCTATTTTGAGGAAAGAAAAAAGGAAATGAAAGTAGAAAATGAAAGAAATTAGAAGTAAAAAGTTTTTTTGAAAGTAGACTTCTACATACTTTCATAAAGTAGAAAAGTTTAGATGATTATAAAGAATTTTGTAAGGCCTTAGGAGAGAAAATTAAATTGTCAGAGCCGCAGGCAAAATTTTTTAGAAGTTTAGATGATTTAGATGATCTGCGCCGCAGACGAAAATTTTAGAAAATTCACAACTAAATTAAAATTTTTAATGTTTTTTCCGGTTTAAAATATTAAAAAAATAAATTTGCAAAGTTATAATCAAATTAAAAGTTAAAAACATTTATTTTGAAAAGAGAAATTTTTCAGCCTCTTGATCCATCCAATTAATTCACAACAAAGATTTAAAAATGTTAATAAGAATTTCAACAACGTCATCCCCATGCTGGTGTTAAACCATAATGAATATACAAAATTCCACCGTCAGTCCCAAAACATTGATATAGAGAACTAATCTTTAAATTTAACAAAAAAAAAATTATTTGAAAATTATTTTATCCCTTACAGTGCTTTCTGGACTTGGAGCAAATGCTTCTTTAATAAAAAGATAAATAGGATCAGTTTTAACACCTAAGAGTTTTTTTAGAGTTTGTTGTAAATTAAATATCGTCCAATTCGGGTCAACTTTATACTTTGTAAATTCTTTTCTTAGTTGAGGTGCGTTGCCAACCGGCTTTAAATGAAGAGTTATTTTATTTGAGGTAATTGTTCCTGTTTTTGGTGTATTTATTTGAATTTCTTTAATGCAAGATTTTTGTATTGAAGATAATTTTAAATTACTAAAAATGTGAAATTTACTTTAAATTTAGTTTTTACCTTTCATTTTCTTTATCAACTCTTGTAAATTTTAGCACATATAAATACTCATTTTTGCATTGTCTTTCCAATATAATAGTCCCATTTAATCCAAATCTTTCCCTTAAAATAACTTGTAAAAAATATTTGTATAAAAATACCTATTTTTAGTTGAAATTAAATCAGCAATATTATTTTCTTTTATGGCTACAAGATAAAATACTCCATTTGGAGAAAGTAATTTAGAAATAAAAGGTAATAATTTATTTAATAAATTGCGTCCTTCAGGTCCACCAGCAAAGCAAATGTCCTATAATATATTTTCAATTAAAAATACAAATTAATAAACCTTTTCATTTTCTGGATTTTCTTCCGTTAGAACATATGGAGGATTAAGTAAAAGTAAATCCAAAGAATTATATAATCTTGGAAGCAAAGGTCCAACAGCATCACTTTAATATTAAATTTTAAGTATCTTACTACTTTGTACATTAAATAGTTTATACCACTGAACACATTCCAAAAATTCTAATCCAATAGAATTTAGTTTTGCTGTATTTTCTGTACACTTTAAGGCAGATAAATTTAAATCAGTACAAATCACTCTAAAAATTAATTAAAGAATATATATCGAATTTCTAACCTTGTCAATAAATTATTTTTCAATAATTTTTGTAAAAAACATGACACAATTCCAGAACCGCAGCCAATTTCCAAACAAATTAACGGATTTAGTGAAATTATTACCTAAAAATTTAAATTTAAAATACACCTTTTAAATTAAAAAAACATCTTTTTCTTTTGACAAAGCATCAATCAACAAAAATGTGTCTTCCGACGGAGGATAAACATTTCCATGTAATTCAGGATTAATTTTATATTCAGGTGTTGGAATATAATCTTCTGTCATCTGAATATTTAATCGATTTAATTAGAATTCCTTCAAACACAGATATGCTTATTTTAGATAATAACATTTAAAATCAAAATAAAAAATAAATCAAAATTATTTTTTAATCAAAATTAAATTTTTGCATTTAAAATGTCGCCTAAAATATTATTTCTATTTTTTAATTATCACTCAGTAATTCTTCTATACTTTCAATTCCATCATTTTGTTCTTCCTGTTCATCATCCTCATCATTTTCTTTTATTATTTCTTCTTTATTATTTTCTTCAACATCAAAAGTATTACCATTTTCAGTAATGCCCGGAAAATTATTACATTGTCCATTTTCTTGTTTGTTATTTAGATTACTTCTTTCATTACTAATATTACTTGTTGATGCTCGAGAACAATAATTAGTTACGGAGGCTTTAACATTCTGGACTTTTTTCATTCTTTCTTCTTCAATTGCTTCGTTTATTTCCATTGCTGGGCATTCAAAATGTACACAATGAAAAACTTCATTTGCTGAATTATAAGTTCCAACAATCCTAACAAATACTACAGATGTCTTTTCAAATTGAGCAATTTGCCAGCTTCTGTTTTTTAAATTACAGTATTTAGATTTTGTTAATCTAACTCTTACCTGCATTCATTGAATTCCACAACTTTAGTCCACTTTATTTGATCAACTGAAACTTCAACATAAAAAGAATAACATCTATCATCACAATCCCATAAAAGAAATCTTTAAATAAAATTTACGAAAAAAAATTTTCCGTTATTACCTCATTGTTTCGATTAAATACGGTTGTGGTAATTGAACTACTAAAGCACCGGAACCTAATTGATGACAAGTATATCTTTAAGAGAAGATTTAATGATTATTGTTTACTTTAAATAAAACCCATTGTCCCAATCATAATTTGTTGTATCTCCATTTAAAAGTGCATTTCGACTTCTTGAAACTCCTTCTGTAACAATTGCATTATTTGATATTGTAGCAACATTGGAACGCGGTACTTAAAATATTTCGAAACAACTTCAAAATAAAATATATTACTTTGTAACGTTGTTTTTGTATCGATTTCAAATTGTTCTGTTGAACATAATGCTTCAAAATTGCAAAGTTGAAATGTATTATTCACAGAACTAAGAGTTCCAACAATTCTGTAAAAAAGTTTAATATTTATCTTTATAAATTTAAATAGAAACTAAAAAAGAAAGATATATACCTAATAAATTTCACAACTCTTGATTCAAAGAAAAGATTTTGTTTTGAACGACATAAGTATAGAGTGTGATCAATAACTCGTACCCAATCATTTTTGTCAATACTGACCTGAAACAAAGGATTTTACAAAAAATAAAAGAAATAACTTCAATGTAATAAGAAAAGGCACGTTGATCTCTATCCATTAATTGCAATTTAATACAATTAATAATAAATGGTCGTCCTAATTCAATCTGAAAATAAATTAAAATTCTATGAAAACACTATATTAAAGTTCGTTTAATTGCTAAAAGATGGATTTAATTTTTTGAGAAAATTTAATTCAGATCAAAATGAAATAAATTATTAGTAACAAATTTTAAAAAACCGTTATTCCCGGATCTCTTGGATTTATCAAATGTTTGGAAAATGTGCGATCAGTTGGAACTCCTTCATCATAATTACTTGGATTTGAAAGCAAAGCTGTTCGGAAATCGCCAGAAATTACTTTTGCACCAAAGGAAACTGTTGCGATATTTATTCCAGGAACTTAAACAATGATTTTTAATTTCAATGAAAAATGAGTTTTACATAAAAATCCTCTGTATTTAAGTTGTGAACTGCTTAAAGTGTTTTGATCTTTAATTGCATCAAGTATTTGATCAGGAGAAATAAGCGATGATTCTCTAACATGCTCAAATAAATCGTTAACTTTAATTAGAGGAAGACGAATTTGGGCCAAAATCGAAGGAAATTCTGATTCCTATATAAATTAGATAATGTAGCATTTTTCATTATATTTTCACACTAATGTCACACTATTTCAATTAACCTCATCTGGATGTGTCTCTATCCACTGTTTAACAGCATTAAAAATTTCAATCTCTGGTGCACAAAACGAATTTCTACTCAGAATTTTTACCAAAGCTTGAGCAGGAAGATCAATAAATGCCTTTCAAAAAAATTTAAAATATTAGAAATTAAAAAACCTGTGTTCCCAAGAGTTCAGTCGCACAATTATCAATAAAATCAAGGCAAGTAGTCATTAAACATTCAATTGAATAATGCTGGGCAACAGTAAAAACAGCACAAACATTTTTGTTTTTAAGTGTAGACTAAAAGGAATTTAAGAAAATGGAAAAAATTAACCTTTAAAAATTCTGGAATTGTTTCTTCCAAATCAGAAAATCCATATTTATGAACCAATCCTAAAAACAAGTATAAAAGTAATTTTAATTTAAAGTAATACCAAGCATATCCAAAACTAAATCCAATTTCAGACTCTTAAGTTGTAACTTCCCAGTATAAATATATTTCAAAAGAGCCTAGATAATTAAAAAATAAATTTAAAAATATCTAAAAACTTTAAAAGCATCTGCTGGTGTATCAACTAAAGTAATTTCATTTTCATTTGTTTCTCTCATACCACAAAAAAGCATAGCACTAAAAGTTAATTTCAAAAATAATTTATAAATAACAAACTGAAAATATGTGCTTCTTGCAGCAAGTATCACTCGATGCACGGGAAAACGTTGATCCTCAACAATTAAAGTTAAGTCACTACAATCCTCATTTAAATAAAGTGAAGAAATTTGTTCAACTAGCTGTGATGTGTGTTGTATCTCACCAAATTGATTTAAAAATAAATCTTAATGAAATTCAAATTTATGAAAATAACTCACTATAAATTGTAGTTCTGCTATTCAATGAAGCTATTGAATTACTAACTTCCTGTATTAGTGGACTAGAACTTCCTTCTACATTTCCACCAGACTCAGAAGCAGGTGAAGAATGATAATAATTATTGCTCATAAGTTATAATTTTAAAAATTGATTTAATTTAAACAAATAGATTACGAATAAAGCGATAACTTTAGATTGTAAATTAACAAAGAATAAAACAAAAATAAAATTGATTACATTTATTCAAAAAATAAAACAAACTGAAATTTAATTTTATCAAAATATATCAACGTCCGAATCCTCCATAACGGCCTCCACCGCCTCCACTAAAAGAACCAGTTCGATCACGTTCCACACGTTCACCAGAACGACGTTGTGCCCCATAAACACCATGCGCTGCATTTCCTCGTCCTCCAGCAATTCCAGTATCAGGTGGATTGATAACAACATCGATATAATCACCGACTTCGAATTTACATTGACTCAACTTAAATATATAAAAATAATAAAAATTTAAAACAAAAAGATACGCTTTTCTCATCATCTGGAGATCTTTGCCCGCTGATTGTTATTCCAACTTCTCTTAATGCATAACGAGCAGAATAACGATCCGGAGCAACTGAATATTGTTAAAAAGATGTTTAAAAATTTAATCAATTGAACTACCAATTGCAAAATTAAACTCTGTGCCTCGTCTACGTGCATCAGGATTAACATCTTTAATAAGTGAAGTTAATTCCTTCAGTGTGCAATCAAGCCTGCAAAAAAGAATTTTAAGAATTAGATTATTTAAAAATGATAGAACCGAAAATGTTTTACTTTAAAAGAATAATTTATTATATAGCTCTGTATAACAAACCAAGTATAAATTTGCAGCTCATTTGGTGGAACAGACCCACGAGAATAATCATTCATAGAATTATGTCGAACTTGAGCACAAAAAATTCGAAGAAGTAATGGGCATACCTTAAATATATTTTATGTATAAATTTTTTATTTAAAAACCTTTTCACGGTCTATTGTTTTTTCAATTGGAACTTCAACTTGTGATACGACGTTTGAGGTCATGCCAAAATTAACTTAATAAATGTAATCTATTTGTTTTCTTAAAAAAGCGAGATTAACATAAAACGCTAAATTTTGACGCAAGATCGATGAAGGCTTTGAAATGGACTGAAAACTAAACTACTTCGTAGAGACAAAATGGTATTCAACAAAAGGTATTGAGGCTAAAATTAGACAAAATGTTATTAGACAAAATAGAACTTCAACAAAATGGTACTTTCCCACAAATTAGACAAATTGATAGTTTAGGAATGGGGCGACCCAATGTGATTCGTTAATGCTGTTTTTGCTGTGTGGGAATTCTCTCATGACATTGCTTTTTGTTGATCTCTATGAAATTAAAGGAAGTTCTTTAAAAAATATGTAATTTTGTTTTCTTTAAATTAAAAAAAGCCAGCTGTTCATAAAAGCATGTAAAAGTTAGAACTTTTTATTCTAAATACTTATTTTTTAACCTTTTTATCAAAATTTAACGTTTTAAATGTTTAACAATATTCTTCAACGCAAAAATTTTAGTATTAGAAGGTAATTTCTGAAAAAATACTAATATGTATTTTTTTCTTATAATTTCCGCTCTTGCATTCCTTGTTAAAAATATTTTTTAATTAATAGAAATGCCACTAAAAGATGGAAACATGCAGTTGCTGGCCAAGAGGGGAATAATGAAAAAGGAAAAATTTCTATAGGAGGAAGTCAATCAAAATCAATTCAAGGACAATCTTTATCTGTTGTTATTAGAAATACTTCTGGCATGAATACTGATTTACAAAAACAGGTTATATGCATTATAGAGTATTATAATCAAAAATTTAACGTCCAAATAAATGAGGATTTCATTATTTTTAAAATATTTGATGCATATTGATACAGTGTGAATTTTAAAAATTAATTTTTTTTTAATTTAGGCTGTTGAAATTACTAATATTGCTCTAGATGTTTGTGTTTTTATTAAATTAAATTTAAAAATAATTTGAAGACTTGTAATTTGGAATCAGAAATAGCTACAAAAATAAAAGAACAAATGGATGAATTTACAGGAAAAACTTGGCATGTTATTGTTGGAAGAAATTTTGGGACACATATTACTTGGGTAAATAATTATTTTAATTATAGTTAATTTTTATTTATTCTTAGTCAGAATATGTACATTTTATTGCCGGAAAAATACATATTTTAATTTTTCAGTGGGGATAAATTTAAAATAGATTTTTATTTATTTTATTTTTAAATTCTTATTTTAAAAATTATATCTACGCATTAAGAAAATAGTTGCAGAAATATAAACCCGTGGGAAACATAAGGAGATGACCTAAAAATGTGTAAAAAAATATAAAAATAAAGGCTAATAAAATCCACACTTTATGAAATTTTAACTATTATTTACTGTGAAAGTATCCTGCCAAAAAAACTTTAAGATTTTAAATTACCCAAAATTATTTTTAATTTCTGCTCGTATTTTTTTTAATTGTTCTATCAAAAATGACGTAAAAATATAATTTATCTACCTTTTTAATTTTCAAATTTTCATTTAAAAATTAAATCATATTCATTTTTTAGGATTTTTTCGAGTAAAATTTTAAAATGTATAATTTTCTTTATCTAAATATTCCTTTTTCTTTATTAATCATATTATTTTTAACCAATTCGAAAGCAGAATTTGAAAATTCTTTTGATGGAATTTCTAATATTAAATTAGAAATGTTACATAAAAGAAGAGGGAGAGAATTATTCGGAAAAAGAAACGGTAACTAAATAAATTTAAAAAGAATTATTTTTCAAAATTTTTATTTAATTTTCAGCCCCGTCTATGGAAAGACAAGGAAGAAGGACAAGAGAATTATTTGGGAAAAGATCTTTTCAAACAGACTTGTTGGGAAGTAAAAATGAAAATATTCTAAATATCATGACTTTGTTGAATGAAAGGAGAGAATTATTTGGATATTAAAAATTCATATTCGAAAAAACACACAAATATATTTATTTCTTAATTTCTTTGCATTGGACAAAATATCCTCAGAAACGATAAATCTCCTTTGACGTTTTTACTGTTGACATTTTAAAATTCTGTCCAATTGTCTACTTTGCCCAATTGTATTCTGTCCGATTGTCGAGTACCCCATTTCAGTCTTAGGCAAGGGGAAGTTTCAGTCTTTTTTAAATTTTGTATTGGGCGACTGGACGAACTCCCACTGTTTGATTTAGCACGAGAGACAATTTGGAATGGGGATGTTCAAAAAATTTCAGATCTTTAAAAATGGACGAATTAGCTGGAGTATTTTTAACTGCCGCTGAGGAAGGTGATTTTGCAAAATTACAACAAATGTATGCAAATAACCCTGAATTATTAATGGTTTTTATCAAATTACTACAATATTTATTCTAAATTTTGTTTGGCTTGTAGGCTCAAGATCGTGATGGATATACTGCTCTTCACCGTGCTGCTTATAATGACAGGATAGAAATTTGTAAATGGTTATTAGAAAAAGGTTTTATTAAAGAAATATTTTTATTGAGTAAATTTTTAGGAGCAGATCCTGAAATTCGAACATGTGATGGTTGGACGGCTTTGCATTGTGCTGCTTTTTGGGCAAATTATGAAGTTGTCGCAATTCTTTTAAGGCATGGTGTTGATGTGAATAGTCGAACAGAGATAAGAAAAGTAGTTTTTAATTATCTTTTTGTTTTAAGGCAAAATTGTTCCTTTACATCTGGCAATTAATTCTTCAAGTGAAGATAAACATAAGCAGTATCTAACTGTTAAATATTTACTTGAAGCTCCAGGTTTAATGATTAAAATTTTTTTAGATTTTTTTTTAAATTTTAGGTGTTGAAATGAATGCCGTTAATGGTGCTGGTGATAGTCTTTTAGATTTAGCCAGAAGAACTCGTTCTGATATTCTTGAATTGCTTAAAAGTTTTATGAAATAAAGATTAATTATATAGTATTTTTCTTATTAATCAGTTATGAATATTCTTTTTATTTCATAATTATGCATATGATTTCTGTTTATTTTTTTGCCACAAAAAATTATGCCACAAAAAAGACAAAGGCAATCCTCAGATAAAGGAAAAGACACCAATGTCAAAGTTCGTAGAGTTATTATTGATTCAGATGAGGAAGAGAGTGAAGCTGTTGCAGAACAAGTACCAAATGATGTTACAGAGAATATAAAACAGTTGAATACGAATGAGATCGATGAGATTGTTTCTGAGGTTTGTACAATTAAAGTTTTAATTTGTAGTTTTTGTTTAATCCGTTTGTGATAGTGATTTTTGTAAAATTTCATGTTAGCTCTTATTTTGTATTTATTTGCAGATGGATGTTTATTTACTTCCTGTGGAGGGCAGCAGGAGTTTTGATTCCGATGACCAGTCAAATGGAAATATTGTTAGTTTAAATCGTTTACAATTTCCTCAGCAACACACAAATTGGCTTGAAAGAATATTTAATTCTGAAAAATGTCAGGCTTATTATAAGGCTCAAGTTAAACATTTAAGATTACGATTTGGTGAGGAAGAACAAATTTTTGACGAAAGTAGAGGAGGTGGTTCGGGGAACTCAAAAGGTGGTTCGGGTGGAATTGCTGATTTATTAAGGTTTTATTTTAATTAGAATAATTTTTGAATGATTTTTAAGATCCAAATCAGAATTAAATCCTTCAACTTCTAATACAAATGTTGATGGAAAGAGTTCCGGTGAAGTTTTTATGGGAGAAGGCTTTTCACAACATGAGATTATTAGTCATGCGGTTGGACTTTTTAAGGAAGGTTTGAATTTTTTGAAAATAATAAAATAAATTTTCTTGAAATCTAAAAAAGTTATGTTTAGGAAAAAAGAAATGTTCTTATGAAGTATTTATGATTTTCAGGAAAGCTTTTTCTGTTGCCAGTTGAGAAAACCTATGAAATGCGTCGACCATTAGCAGGTACAATTGAAAAGGAGGCATCAAAATCAGCGACACAAAAGGGTAAAAGCATTTAATTAAAATTTTAAATTAAATTTTAAAACTTAAGAAGCATCTTCTTCACGAAAAATATCTTCGGCCTCATCGGGATCAAACCTGGCTCCTTTACGAGTAAAATATACACGTGCCGAGAATGATGTTCAACGAAGAAGACGAGAACAATCTTCTTTTTATAAGCAAAAATTGGTTGAACAAGATGTTTGGCTTCCACTTTCAATAAATAAATCGGTTAATTTTTTAAATTTAAGTTTCATCTAAAATCATATTTTAGAAGGCAACAGAAATCTATAGAGATGAAATTGATCAGATAATATTAAAAAGTGGAGATAAAAATGAGTGTAATTCAATAGAAGAACAAAAAGATATATCTTCAAAGAGTTTACTTTTAATTTAAAAATTCTTAAATTAAGATATTGTTATTTTGTAGAAAAATAATTAAATTCTATTAAATATTTATAATCAATAGTATAAAATATTTAAAAGTTGAATTTATTTTTTCCTTCACTTTCTTTTTGTTCTGCTTCAAATTGAAAACATAATCCAGTTAAAGTTCGTTTCAATGTGAAAGCAGATTGAGGAGAATGACTATGTAATGTTCTTAATTGACTAGCAATAAACATACCTATAAATATACGAGTCTATTAAAGGAGTCCACCTCTTATGACCTACACACTCCCTGAAGACCTACAATTTTTGAAAGAAATATTAAGGGATTTGGTGGGATTAAGGAGATATCGATGGATTTGGAGTGATTGAAGGGGATAGAGATCTCTACTAACCCGGAGTTAAGGTACATAATACCGGACCATAGGTCCTAAAATATAGAGCTGGGTACTTATCTCCCTAGAGCTGGGTATTTATCCCCTTTAATCCCTCTAAAATCCT